CCCTTCCCCTGAGACACTGTTCCCCGTTCTCATTGCTCCGGACCATACTTCATCTTGACTGCGTTTGTCTCCATCTCTCCTCACTCCTCTGTGGACTCATCTGATCAACTCACTCGACAAATCCTCCCTCCCACTCAAATCCAGCTCCAGCTCCTTCCCCCACTCTCAACCCACACTTCTGCCTCTGCCTGTTGTCCTGGAGAGCTCTGCAGATTACCCACTATATTACTTTGCCAGTAAAATGACATGCCACCGACTGGGTGGCTTGACCAGAGAAATTTACTTCCTCACCGTTCTGAAAAGGAGAAATTCAAGATGGAGGTTTTGGCAGTTTGGGTTTCTTCTGAGGCCCCCCTCCCTGGCTTGCTGACAGACAGGTGCCTTCTCATTGTGTCCTCACATGTGTGGTCATTTCTCTGTGTCTGCTCACACATCGCTGGTGTGTCTCTGTGTGTCCTAATCTCCCCTTATTTGAGGACACCAGTCAGACTGGATTAGGGCCCAACCTAACAGCCTCAGTTTAGTTACCTGTTTAGAAACCCCATCTCCAAGCACAGTCCCTTAGTGGGCACCCAAGGGTTGTGGCTTCACATATGAATTTTGGGCAAACACACTTTAGTCCATGACACCCACAGACCCACCCCATTTTTATTTCCACACAGTCCATATACAATATTGAAGGGGAAAGGATTTGTTCAGTTCCAAATTTATCACTAATTTTGTGTGAAACCTTGGCAGATCTCCTCACCTTCCTGTTTCTCAGCTGGAAAGAGTAAAGGAACTTTCAACTTCTTACCAGCTCTGACTCTCTGTGCTCCTCAGAGTTCCTGATGAAGAAGTATAGGGGTGTGTGTGTGTGTGTGTGTGTGTGTGTGTGAGAGAGAGAGAGAGAGAGAGTCAGAGACAGAGAGACAGAGAAAGCCCCATGTGGGGAGGACTGTGTGCAGCAAATGTAATTCATATATTTGTACTGAGAGATCCTGAAAATAAAATATTATTCCAATAATACAGATTTAGGAAAAATAAAATATAGTCTGATGAAACTATTCTTTTCTACAGAGTGCCCCATTATTTTAAGACTGTTCAGCAAAAACCTAACGAATTTTATTTTAGAGAATGACCAAGGCCTGTCCCTCAGAACACTCAATCAATTGTCCAACAGAAAAGATCAGCCCAAAAGACTACAATGATCAAATCAGGCAATTAGTGTTTCCATTTTCTTAAACTTTATCATTTCTTTGTGAGGAGAATATTCAGAACCCTCTCTTCTAGCTGTTTTGAAATATGCAATACCACAGTGTTAACTGTGGTCTTCCTGACACTCAGTTGAATACCAAAACTTATATTTCACAACTGTGGCTTTGTACATTGTATTGAAATGTCACCTTGTACCCAATAAATACATACAATTAAAATGTTTTAAAATTTTTAAGTATTAAAAAAAATAATTTAATAAATAAAATGTTTTTTTTAAAAAAGACTACAATGCTTTCATGTCTCTAGATTATAGGACTGCTTAGGGCACTGGGAGAACCTGTGAGTCGGCAGAACTTAATGCAGCAGATCCCATCCAAACCATTCCTAACAAGGTTCCTGCCCCTGACCTTCCTTTGATCTCAGGAGAACAAGAGGCTCAAAACTCACTAAAACTAAAAGCAAGAATAAAGTACTTTACAGCCAAAGTGTTCCTAGCATCATTTACTATTTTCATGCCTTATGGTTTTACAAGAAAAATTTTAAAAAGGAAGGAATCATGAGCACTTTGGTGTACCTATGCCTTAAAAGGCAATTGGTATTGACACGGCAGTGATATTTCCCAACTGTGGCTTTGTACATTGTATTGAAATGTCACCTTGTACCCAATAAATACATACAATTAAAATGTTTTAAAATTTTTAAGTATTAAAAAAAATAATTTAATAAATAAAATGTTTTTTTTTAAAGAAGACTACAATGCTTTCATGTCTCTAGATTATAGGACTGCTTAGGGCACTGGGAGAACCTGTGAGTCGGCAGAACTTAATGCAGCAGATCCCATCCAAACCATTCCTAACAAGGTTCCTGCCCCTGACCTTCCTTTGATCTCAGGAGAACAAGAGGCTCAAAACTCACTAAAACTAAAAGCAAGAATAAAGTACTTTACAGCCAAAGTGTTCCTAGCATCATTTACTATTTTCATGCCTTATGGTTTTACAAGAAAAAATTTAAAAAGGAAGGAATCATGAGCACTTTGGTGTACCTATGCCTTAAAAGGCTATTGGTATTGACACGGCAGTATGGATCAGGAGAGCTCCTCACCTTTGCAGATGGTGCAAGTGTTCACCTGTGCTCAGGATGCTGGTGGTCCTCCTACAGGTTTATCATTCTGTGCAGTCAGTAAGGGTTTTAATGTTTCCCTGGTGGAACCAAGCAGGCAAGCTCCTTATTCCAGGTCATGTGCTTGGTGAGCAGCAGAGCTCTCATTCAAAACCCTGTCTCTTCTTTTATAAAGGCCCTGTGGTTTAGATAGACAGCTGAGTCTTGCACTGTCCTAAAACCATGAAAAAAAAATTTTTTAAATGAAGTTAGAATCATAGCTAGCTAATTTTGAAAAGGTTCTCTCCAACATGAATATCCAACCAGACTTTGGAAGTTGTGTGAAATGCAGAATAATACTTCTTTTGCAGGATGTTTCTGCATACTGCAGCACCTCAGGCATAACTGGCCTCTGCCCAATAATTGGTCAATATAAAATGATGAAAACTGGCAAGAGGGATCCCCAGGACATCTCTCACAAGGTCTCCCATGCAGCAGCCTTCCTCACGAGGCCCAGCCACTGACCCACCATACCTACCATGTCCAGCTAATGGCAGGATGACCTCCTCAGAGCAGCACTCAGTAAGCGATTACTGGAAATGCTTAGTGCAGTTCTCCTCAGTGACCTCGGTGTGGGATTAAAGGACTCTCTTGTTATTACATCTACAGGCATGAAACCTTTCTTGGCTGGGCCAAAGCAGTTTATGCTTGGTGTTGCTTTGTTGCTTCACCCCCCATGGATTTGTCACCCCACTTCCCCTGGGTGACAGAGACGCAAAGGATTATTCAAAGCCCATCTCCTCTGAGCAGTGAGAGGCCCCAAAGTGGTTAAGTTTCCCAGGACCCTCCAGTGAGTGGTTAATCTCCCAATGGAACCCTCACGCAAGAGGCATCTGTTCCTTGGGAATTAACCCTGAATTGGGGTTCTCTTCCTGCAATTATTTTC